GCTTCTGGGAATTGTAGTCCAAGAACATCTGGAGGCCCAAGGTTGGGGACCAATGATCTACATCACAAAGGGGTCTATTATGGGGGTGGGGGTCTTAGGACTGGAGGAGGGCTTCCAAGATGAAGGCTTCCAAGACCTGACAAGGTTGCCCACCTCTGCTTTAAACAGTTGAGAAGAGGGAAACACAAGAGGTGCCTTCTTGTGACCATGAAATGGATCTAGTGTTCTTTTCCTCATGGGACATTGTGGGCGGACATTTTGAGAAAGAGACAAGCAGGGCTCTGACAGGCTAAACCCGTTTATATACAGAACTACTGTTCCCCAAATCCCTTGCTAGAAAGAGGCATCTTTAATCTAGTTTATAATGTACAAAATGGTATCGCTCCCCATTAAGTGGACGGTTATGAATATAACAGGTGGGGAAACAACCCACTCTTCTGTTTTGCCCACGGGCAAAATGGTGGAACGCGGACTTCTTTCCTTCCTTGCAGAAAAAAACGTTTTTGCACGTAAAATCAAGCATCCAGCTGGGATCTTTCATAATGCGGACACGTGACGTCCGCCTGAATGACGTGTTCCTTGAAGATTTAAAGTATCTGCCCACCGAATATGAAAAGGGAGAATATTTCAAATTTCTGGAAACATATGGAACACATTATGCACGGAGGGGGGTTTACGGAGGAATATATGAACTACTCTACATTTTGGACGATGAAACAATGTCAAAGGAAGGTATGTGTTTGCAATAAAAATCTACCTCTTACACGTGTTGCATTCTGGGAGCAAGAGGAGGGCACGTAGCAAAACTGGAGCCTTCCATTTTGAAAATGTCTGCATAAAAACTTTAACTTTTGGCTTTAGGTAGTGTTTGGCCTACTTTAAATGTTATCTATCATTCTTTTGTTCCATATTTAGCCTTTAGGGTGGTATACATTTATTCGTTTCATAATTCATAATTTGTAATTTGTTTCATAATACAATTATTCATTTCATAATTACCCTTTGCATTAAAATGAGCACATGTACAGGCTTACTTGTAATAATAAGAATGTGTTGTCATTAATGGCATGCTGTCAAGTCAATTCCAACTGATGGTGGCCCTGTCCAGGGTGGATAGAGATAGATTACTCAGAAGTAGTTTACCATTCCCTTCTTCAGGGGCAGGGGTATGCCATGGGACTGTACAACTTGCCCACAGCTACACAGGTTGGTTTTTCTCCCAAGAAGCACCATGAGAACTAAACTCCCAACCTCTGGCTCTGCAGCCTCATATTCAGCTCACGGTGCATTTCAGCCAGCTACCTTTCATCTATCGTTGTCGGACTGCAAAACAAATGCTAGCTATCAACAGAGATTAGGTGCTGATCTACAAAGATTCAACCTGTTTTTCTGATAGGCTTGTGTGATCCTGGGCAAAGCAACCCGAGAACAATGTCTTTTGTGGTGAGTCCAATTGTATCTGACTATCGCATGCCTCCAACTTTGCGGCAGATGCCGAAGGCCTCCAGCAGAGGCTGGAGCTTCCTCTCTTAACTGCTTAAGACATGTAGAGGTGTTGCTTCAAGGCCCATCTCAGTGGGTGATGATGAGCTGTGGTGTTGGCCCACACCATGGAGGGCATTAGCTTGCATTCTATCTGTGACTGTTTCTCAATCTCTCAGCATAACTGTACAGTATTACCAAATGGTTCTGTCTGACATCTGGATCCTTGCTCTATATCACACTAAAATGTGTAAACTGTAATAGCTGGCATTGTGTCCACATTAAGGCCATTTCCTGGTAAGGTCACTTGGTGAGCAGGAGAACTCAGCCTTCGGCCTTGAATCTGAGGGTCCCCCCCTCTCCATCATACAAACATTCATCCATTGTAACACAGAAACCACAGAAGATCTTTAACCAAAATACAACCGTCTTTGAAATATTTAGAACATAACATACCTGTCTTTCTTAGTCTACTGCTGCTTCAACAGTGGATTAAGTCCAGCTAGAATGATTTGTTTTGGGTTTTATCCCTGGGGTCTCAGGATTTCATAATGGCATCTTGGGGAAATGGGATCCTGCCAACTCTGGTCTGGTTTCAAAATTCCTCTTGACGGACTTAAGATCAACTGGGAATCTTCCGTTAGATCAAAATCCATCTACGACCCACACTGTTTAGAAAGCAGTGTTCGTGGGCTAGATAGCTTAGTGAGTTAGATGTCTGGCTGTGAAAACAGAGGTTTGGATTTCAGTTCCCCACTGTGCATCCTAGAGGAGCCAGCCTGTGTAACCTTGGCTAAGCTGCACAGCCTCAGAGTGCCATTAGAAGAAGGGAATGCTAAACCACTTCTGAGTACTCTCTACCTGGGAAACCCTGAAAAGGGATGCCATCAATCAGAATTGATTAATATTATTAGTACCGGTAATAGTGCACTTTCACCCCACTGTATGTTGTAGCCTTCAACCAATTAATTTTCTTCAGCAGATTTTAGTTGCACTGCATATTGGGGCTTTAAATTTATATTTTATCTTCTCTCTCTCTCTCTCTCTCTCTCTCTCACACACACACACACACACACACACACACAATTTTGCAAATGTTGCTATACAGCTCAGACTATGACATCAAAAAGATACATCTCAGTTTTAACCTGAAACCTCAGAGAATGAAATGCATCTGAGGTCTCAGTTCTACTGACAATAAAATCCACTGTTGTATCATTTTTAGTACACACTCGAGTTACACGCGTGTGGAGCACTATAGCAGGGGAGCAGGTTTTTCTGCTCCTCTGCCAGAGGTCCATTTATTTGGGGGAGGGGAATGTGGAATCAATTCATTGGAATTGATTCTGCATATGTGAACACCGCACCCACTTTTTAAAAAATCCTGCTATCTGATATAGCATTATACCAGATAGCAGAGATTGAATAAATAAACAAAAGTCAGCTCATGTGCGCCCGCTCGTTCCCCTCTTGCTTGCTTGCCCCTTCATCCACCTGGTCATCCCTTCACCACCCTGGTCACCCTCCTTGCTCATCAAGCCCCTCATTCGGCCCTCATCCAGCCCAGACACCCCTTCGCCTGCTCAGTTGCCCATTGGTCCACTTGGTCACTGCCACCTTGCTTGCTCAGCCCCTCAACCATCCTATCAGCCCTTCACCCACCCAGTCACCCCTTTGGTCACTCAGCCACATGCCTGCCCACTTATTCACTCATCCTCCTACCCCACCCCCATGCTTTTCCAATCACTCACCACCCACCAACCCCTCAGGTACCTGTCCCAACTCCCTCCCACTCTCAGACCTTGCCCCCAATCCCAGCATCCCACTTTGTCAGAGAGAGAGAGAGAGAGAGACAGAGAGATGACAACAACTGAACCTTCTTGAACAACGTGTTGGCTCAATTGGGGGGGGGGAATGTTTGGGTGCTAGGAAGCCTCCTTCTTTCCTTTTCATTCTCCTTGATATTTATTTTGAGTTGTTATATTGATTAATATATTTGGCCTTGAATCTCAGGGTCTGTGCTAACTAATTTTGATTAATTGGTCAATGGACAGTACAAGGTTCAATGTAATCCTGGATTTTTGTTAACGTCTCGTAGTTACACACAGTTGTGTTATGGCAACTCCTCAGAAAGGGACGCAAGAAGTACAGGATAACAACTTATAAAGGAAGTCGATTCCTTGCTAAATATCATGCCCTTGTGAATTCTTTTAGGCTTACTGATTCAGCTATGTTATTCCAACTTTCCCTCCTTTCACCTCCAACAATGTTTTTATTAACTCTCTTTTCAGGAATCACCAAAACAGATGTAAAGAATTGTCTGGGTTTCACGGCAGGTGTTGCTGCGTCCGCTAGTGGCATGGACGTCAATGCTAACATTAAAGATAATAAGTGTAAAACGGAGCAAATGAAAAACGGTATTGAAAGAAACCTTTTTCGTTCAGCTGGTTTCCCTTCCCCACTTTCTTCTGAATTGTGTGGTGTAAACAACAGCTGTTGTGTTTTTAAGGAAAGGCAAGCTTCTTCATGTTCCCCCTCCCCTCGTTTATTTGAAAAGAAATTAAGGAGGCAACAATCTCATGTAGACAGCTGGCTACTGCTGCATAATTGTGCATTGTGACATTGAACTCTGCACTTCATTTGTTTTACAAAGGAAAGGTAAAAAATGTGTTTGTTTTTCTGCATATGTATTCCCTCTGAGTACGTTCAAAGATTAGAAGCAATAGGTTACAAGTAATAACAAGGAACTAGTTACTTTTGGGTAACTGCTGATGCAACGAGCAGTTACAAATTAATTTTTAGGTGTAATGAATAACACTGAAATCACTTCCAGAGGCGGATGGATTGTTATTCTTCAGATTTTATGCAACTTGGTTTTGCCTTTTCTACTCTGATAAATATTTCCAAGGTGCAATATCAGTAGAGAATATCACTGGAAAGTTGGTCACACAAATGCAGGGAGTTCATAATGTGTGATGTGACTAATTACCTGCACAGTTCGAGTAATAATAGCTGCAGTGGCAACTTGGCTTTTATGAATAAGTGCACTTTTAAAACGTAACTTAAAACATAACTTTTTAAAAGTTTTAAAGACTTTTAAAACATAACTTTCTGAGCACTTTTCTGGGGCGTATGCTTTCCAGTTTCTTATGGGGGGGAACATAAACGGTGCTCATCTGAGCTCACTGCTGAAGACAGATGTTACGTTTGAAATGTTATGGAGTTGGCCCAAGCATGTGAATGCTTCCTTGCAAAAAAGGGCTTTGTGTGCAGCATATCTGGCTTCAGGCCCTTTTCATCATTTTGAATTCTATTTCCCTTTACATTCATTTGGGGATATTTATATCTCAGCTAGCAACACAGAGTGCCCAGACCCAAAATGTACCATGTAAGACAGGGGAACCAGTTTTACATGGTATGACCAAGCACTGCCCTTTTATGCCATGGGGCTTGCTGGTAGAAGGAGGGATCAGCCTCCCATTCCAACTCAACAATTGCCACAGCATCCAACAGTTGCCTGATTTAGCCAGCTGAGGAATAATGAAAGGGCAGTGACCAATGGATATAAGGACTAGCAGACCTCTGGGATTCTCTTGGGTCCTCATCCATGGTGTGATAGTAAACGTGGAAGTATAAGTGTCCATCATAGTAGTCATCATAGGCTAGTAGTCCCACGGGAGTCCAAAAAATATAAGCATTTGAATCAATCTCTCTTGACAAATGAGGAGCATGTCTTTTCTAGGGCTAATGGCTCTTGATTGCCCACCCAAGACGAATCAACACTCAAATGCTTTACATTGTAACAAGGATAGCTTTTAACAATATAGGTTGCATAACCTACTTGCTTCCCAGGTACTCTGAAGATTCCAGCTAAGCTCTGATTCACCTAAGAAGCCCTAAGGCCTAGGTGGCAGATAATATAATAGCCCCTACCATTTAGGGTCCTGGGGCTTCAACAGTGTGAGACCCAGCTCTCTTACACCACTGGACCTCACTAGATGAGGCACTGATTCCCTGTCTGAGTGAAATGGACTTGTAAGAGGAAAAGAGTACCTGTTTATTCTAACATGAAGTTGCCTTAATTATCCAGGTGGGAGACAGCACTGCTTGCATATCTGATGTTTCAGAAAGGCAACACTGATAGATTTGCATGCCTGGAGGGATAAGGGCACATGGGGCATGCCTTATGGTGTGATCTGAGTCTATGTCTGAGTCCTGGTTATATCTCTGCCTTTCCAGATTTCCAGCTAGCTTATCTTCTAGCTTGTTTATACGGTGGTAGTAGTTATTTAAAAATCTTTTCTCCAAGTAAAGGCAGAGCCTGAGAAAGTTACTTTTTGGACTACACTTCCAATTTCCCAGAATCAGAGTGTTGCTTGGGGGATTCTGGGCATTGTAATCCAACAAAGCAAACTCCCCCTACCCCGGCTTGAAACACCAAAATCAAATGCCTTTCTGACCCTCTTTATATTCTCAGTGGAGCAGTCCTGCTCCTACAGAATTCATCGTTGGCTTAGCTCTAATTTCTTTTCTCCTCATAGTTGACAATTCAAGTGGAAACACAGTTGTCAACGGTGTGCTCTCACAAGTTAAAGGCGGGAAGACAGATGTTTTAGTGAGGCTGAAGGAAATGCTGTCAACTGGCCAAAAGGTTATTGATGTTGAGAACTACGTCCAGTGGGCTGCTACGCTTCCAGATGCTCCCGCGGTGATATCACAAGAAGTAAGAGTCTTTCCCCCACTGCCAAACAAGTATATTTATTGGTAAATAGCTGCAAACAACATTATCTCATCTGCTATCACACATAAAGTTATCCAGAGTGTCATTTCTTGCCACCACTCGGAATACAGAGACCAGAAAGTGGGCAACTTTAGCAAGTGATACAAGCTACATATTTGCATCAGTTACACACTTAGTGTGCAGTTAAGGAGCAAGATACTTGGAGGATATTCTCTAATATCGCTACCCACTGTATAGATGGAACAAACCCAAACCGTACATTACAGATAGCAGAACAAAATGTTACCTCTGCTTCATAAAGCTATACAAAGTTGTGTCTCAAAGGTCTTTGAGATGTTTAGATCCATTCCGGATATTGCCACTTTTGAGATCTTAATTATCTTCCTTCAGTAAGGTACAATTACTGCAGGGATTACTAGGGAACATCCAGATTTAAGTAGAAGGAAGACTGGTGAGCAGCCATGGTTATAAGTCCCCCACTTTGGAAATCAAAAGTATGAAAAATGTCATTTCCCATACATCACACAGCTATGGAATTCCTTACCATCAGACAACACCATCCTCAATTTATATCACACGTTAAGTAATCTAGAATCCCATTCTTGCCACCATTGGGAATCTAGAAACCCGAAAGTGGGTAAATCTAGTAAGTGAGCCAAGCCATATACATGGATCAATGACACACATAATCTATAATTAAAAAGCAGAGCATATGAAGCATATTCTAGAGTCTGTTCATCCATTGTATGGATATACTACATTGATGTTAATGGAAAATACTGAAGCTGTACGTTACAACATGCACCACTTTGGAAGAGGGAATTCCTTAAGTGTTAAAAAAAATATTGGCACAAACTGAAATTTTATCAACTCTCATAGTTTGCAAATTGGCCTGCTTGATTTTGTGATTGGTCGTTGAGTGGAGCACTAGTTTGATTTCCAAGTATGACTGCTCAGTCATGAGTATCTGGCAGAATCATCTTTCTGGCACAACCCACAGATTTCAGCTTCCGTAATGCATAGTCGGACTCTGTGTCTAGTGTCAAGAACAGTCAGAGAATGCAGACCAGATACACAACTGTGTCAGTCCACAGACTATAGATCACATCACGAATGCATGCTTCACAATCACTGAACCAAGGATGAATATTGAGAATTTTAAAAAGTCCACAACTAACCTAAATAAGTAGTTATCCTCTTGCACACATTTAGGATCCCTTGCCTTATGCACTCAAATGTCTTGTGACATTTGTGAACTGAACAAAAGCTTAACAATGTGAGGTGGGATGTCTGTGACCGGAACCAGCTTGTTCACATGATCCATGATCATGTTTCCAATGAGCTCAACAGAATACAGTTGACCTTAAGGATTAGAAACCCTCTGTATAAATGCACAAGAGACTTAGAAATAGATTTTGGATGTAATAGTTTTGTTTGGGGGTGGGGTACTCTCTAGATGATCATGTACATTACTTTTTTAAAAAAATTGGAGTCTGCTAATCTAGCTTCATTTGGAAGGCCTCATGCTCATTCTGGAGAAGAGAGATGCAGTTACAAAATCTTGCCCTGGCAGCACCATTGAGCTTTTGCTCCAACAGTCACCCACAAATAATACCCTCACACTGATGTGAGAGTGCACCACTGTGGAAGATCTAAAAGGGAGCCCACCTGCTCATCTCCCATCTCTTCTGGGACCCAGTCACTGTCTATTCTCTGCTTTTCTTGTGAGCCACACTCTCTTTGTTTACAAAACCAGATGTTAATAAGAGAATCTCCTCCCATCAGAGGCTTCTGGAGATGCACATCTTCATTCTTGCCAATATTTTTCCCTAGCAACATAGGACTGCTCTGGTTAGGGGTGGGGAACCACAAAGAGGCCTTACTGGGACACGCAGTTCCCACCCCATTGCAAAGGCCATGAGAATACTATTGGGCAACGCCACTGTAAATCCGCTCATCTCTCTGCTCCTTAAACTCATTTTCATGGTCTTTTCATGGTAAGTGGAGTATATGCATGGGAAGGTGAGTGCCACACCTGCACAACAGTCATAACCACGTGCTTTAGAAATGTATCTCATAAGGTGTTTGAAATTCCCCACAGGCAAGCCCAATTTCAACGCTTGTCCCGTCGAAGATGCCCGACGCCGAGATAAAGAAACGGAACCTCGACAGAGCAGTGGAAGACTATGTTGCGGAATACAGTGTGTGCAAATGCCAGCCCTGTCAAAATGGTGGGACTGTCATGCTGCTGAATGGAAAGTGTGAATGCGGATGCACGGCTTATTTCAAAGGAGACGCCTGCGAGATCCCAGCAGAAACTCTTGCCTCAGGTTAGATGTCACTCCGGCCTTCTCTTCAGGCTTCAGTTCAAATCCACAAATGTTTTTGCCTGCCAGCAAAACAACAACAACAAAGAGGGTGCTTGGCGGGGTGTTGAAAAACCTGGGAACAACAGAATTAAACAAGGTAGTGGTGTAGTAGGAAATTTAAAAGGGCAGGTGCTTTTGTGAGAAAAGGTGATATTAGATTCTGGTCCAAAGTTGTGTGGGCTATAGGGATGTGAAACACCACGGTTTTTGGTTTTATTGCATTTCTATAAACCAATTCTGAATTTTCCACCCATCTTTGTTTTATCTTACAATTTTGCGTTTTTGTCCCACCCTGAAATTTATGGATAGTTTTCCACACTGTTCCACACTGACCATTTCTTTCCACATTTCATCACCTTTCAGCAACTTTTCCCCACTGCTTAAAGTAATTTATGTTTAATTTTCAATTTTGCAGATGGTTTAGGTTTTCTCATTTTCCATCAAAGAAATACTTCATAATGCAAAAGGTCATTTCCCCCAAACTTGGGCTCTCCTGATGTTTTAGACTGTAAAATCCATCATCCTTAGTAAAATGACAATGATGGGATTTGTAATTCAAATGCAGTAAGTTTAGTTTGAGGAAGATGTTATTTATTTATTTAACTTATATGCTGCCCACACTCCCCAAAGGTCCCTGGGCAGCTTACAACAATTTAAATGGATTAAAAGATGAAACAATTAAAATCCAATTACAAATACAGTACTCTAAAAATTGCCATCAGTACCCATAGTTGATATTATTTCAATTAAAAATCTTCTGGAACAGGAAGGTTTTGACCTAGTGCTGAAATGTCATCAGTGTCGGCGCCAGACAGATCTCCGTTGGGGTGGCGTTCCGTAGTCTGGGGGCAGCTGCCGAAAAGGCCCTTTCTCTACAAGTCCTCTTATCTCCTTGAGGGATGGCTCTTTCAAAAGGGCCCCCTGGCTAGATCTTAATTGCCAGGTAGGTTCATATGGAAGGAGGCAGTCCTTCAGGTATCCAGGGCCCAAGCTGTATAAGGCTTTATATGTCAAAACAAGCACTTTGAATTGGGCCCGGGCAGCAACTGGTAGCCAATGTAATTTAAACAGAATCATCTTGATGTGTTCCCTAGTGGCCCCACCAGTCACCAGTTGCACAGGTCATTTTGGACCAGTTGCACTCACAGGACCGTCTTTAAAGGCAGCCCCACATAGAGCGCATTGCAGTAATCTATACAGGATATTACCAGTATACGTGTAACTGTCATGAGACTCTGCTCCAGGTAGGACCGTAGCTGGTATAATTTCAACAGCTGAAGGGAGGCACCCCTGGCCATGAAGTCCACCTGGACTTCCAGAGTTAGACTGGGATCCAGAAGCACCACAGGTGGCGGACCCTGTCCCTTAGGGGGAGTGTAACCCCATTCAGGGCAGGGAAATGTCCATCAAAGCACACACTAACATCACTTCTATCTTGTCTGGATTGAGTTTCAATTTATTAACCCTCATCCAGTCCATTATCAGGTCCAGACATGAGTTCAGCACAGAAAGCACCTCACTTGGATTGGTGGAAGATGAGAGGTAGAGCTGAGTTGTTGTTGATGATGTTTAGTCATTAAGTCGTGTATAACTCTTTGTGACCCCACATTTATACCTAGAAAACCCTGA